AAAACATTTTCATATTTTTAATTTCTATATTTTTGCATTTTATATATTTTTGAATTTTATTATTTAATTTTGGCAACATGGATTGGCCCATTTGACCCGAATGGTTTGATTTCTTACCACCACCTAAATGAAAATACTATTTTTTCCAGGTAGATTTTAAAAGTATAAGTTTTATGTTATTGAGATTATTAATTTATTATGTATGTATTTAATTATAGAATTTAATGATGATAAGAAACAAAGAAGCCTTAAATATATGATTCAATGAAGGTAAATGCAAATTAATACCTTAAGACTCAATTTGGTAGGAATACAAATACAAATATGTACTATGCAAATACATACAAAATATAAGGTTTTGCACTCTACAAATTTGTATTTATACTCCTCCCAAACTGAGCCTAAATGTTTGATTTAATGAGAGATAATTGAATGCATTGAATATCTTAAAATTAACTATTTTCAATTCATTTAATATCAATAACTAATTATCCTATTTGCCCTCATTTTTTATCAATAAATTTAAATATAGAAGAATAAATTTTGTCATCACAAAATTTCAAAAAATTTCTTAAACTATCTTTACTATTTAACTAAGTGACAAATTATATCTTTACTGTTTAATTATTGTCTTTGTTATCATTACTGTTTCTGACAATTAATTAACTCTACATTGATGTTAGCATATGTTAGTATTCCCTTACACATGTAACACTACATGACTTTTTAAATTTTTTTTTTAATCTAATATTACCCTTGTCCCCTTCCTTTTGAGGCCGTTGTGAGGGATTTTGGTAGCTTCATCGGCTCCCCTGCACTGGCGGTGGCATTGGTGCCGAACACCTGTGCTGGTGCCACTGTTCTGTGCAAATCAATCAGAAAACGGTGGTGTCTTAGGGCTTTGTTTGACTGTAACTCATGTCATTGAACAGGGATGAGAATAGCCAGTTGTGTCTTCAGGCTGGTCATGAACAGCTACGACACCCATTTCCCCCATTTCCATCTCCGAACTACCCTGTAATTCCCTCCACCGATTCCGTTAAATGATGATATTGCTCTTCTATTAAACAAAGCACAAAAGGCCAACAACCTCTTCTATTAAACAAGCACAAACGATTTTCAAAGTTTTCAACAAAGCATTAAATCCTTTCTGGGTATTCTGTAACATTTGGAAGGCAGTAAAGGAGGGAGGCAGAGGCCTATCTGTATTTTGGTTTCTTTTTCTACTTTCATTTCATTTAAAAGAGATGAAGATAAGAACTTGATGTAGCACAATTCGGCTGCTCCCTGCAGGAGATGATTTGGCTACCAACAACGACGGGCTCGATGAACCTGTAAGAGATGAACCTGAGAATCCGGGGTTGTTTATCTGGCGGGGTTGCTCCGATGCTTAAGTTAGCACTTGGTTGAGAGCTGAAAATGATATTAGATTGTGAGAGAGCTAGAGAGCAGAGATTACGCCTCTCCTCACCCCTGGGGGGTGAAGCCTTTATATATTGGAGTCCTTACGGGTTCGGTGGAGTAGTTTCGGAATTCTCACTGCGACAGAATCCGTTTCCGTGTTAGTTGGGAATAACGCTACCAACCGGTAAGACTGACCATTTTCGCCTGAATCGGGGAGTGGGGAGATAATATTAGCCATTACAAGGTATGATCTCATAAGACGCGGAGTACGGTGATGAGATCCTTGGGGTTGCCATGTGGTGGTCGGTTAGCATTGCTTCAGCTCGTGCTCTTTAGATCTGACCTGATATGAATGCCGAAGTGCCTTGGGACCGAAGTGGTCCTGATGTGACATTGCACTGAGGTATACTCATCCCGAGGTAGACTTGTCCGAGGTGGACTTGTCCCGAGGTGGTCCTGTTTCGAGGTGGTCTGGTTATCCGAACTCGATTCGCTGCGAACTTGACGTGTCAAGCTGAGTTGTTATCCTACTAGTTAGGTTGCCAGGTCGGCGCCTGTGCCAGGCCGCCAGGTAGCCAGGTCGGTGCCTGTGCCAGGCCGCCAGGTATCCAGGTCGGCGCCTGTGCCAGGCCGCCAAGTCACGCCTGGGCCAGGCCGCTAGGTGAGACACCATCAACTTGGCTAAGACAAGTTGTTTCCTAAGTGGTTCCGGGTGTCACCTAGTTGTTCCGAGGTGCCATGTGTCACAATATCATTGGAGGGCCAAATCCGCCCTCATCATTTTTCCCCCACTCCCGAGCTAAAAGTAACTCGACGAAGGGAGTAGATTGCTCCTTTTGGCCTGAAATGACTAATTCGATGAGCTCGTAAGTGTCGATTCAATTCCTTAGGCTTTGGGAGCACTCACAGTCCACTCTCCTTACCCTTGATTTTGCCCATGCCGAAGAGGCGACTGGGTCTTATGTGGTGCCGAAGTCTTTGCCAGTTCGGCACTTTAGCCCTTAGACTCTGGGAGAGACTCGTAATCCACTCTCCTTGATCTTTGATTTTGCCTATGCCGAAGAGGCGACTGGGTCTTATGTGGTGTCGAGGTCTTTTATCAGCTCGGCACCTTAGAGCTACGGCTGCGTTGCATCAGCCTCGTTAGTGACGTCGGTTACCCACTCCTACAAGAAACTACTAGGAGCTCGACTTATGGGGGCAGCACTACTGACTTTAGGTCACCAGCTCGCACGAGAGCCTTGGGAGGCTCGACCGGCAGGGGCGTCCATGTAGTCTATTGGCCGCCTACTCACGTGGAAGCCACGAAGAGCTCATCGTTGTAGAGGGTACCTCGCGAAGAGGACTGATGAGGCTTTATCCGAGTTGAAATAAAGTTGATAGAGTTGCTTAGTCTGTTGGCCATCAACTTCTTGCATAGTCTTTGAGTTCATAAAAAATGGAAACTAGAAAGTGAGAGCTTTTATTTTCTAAAAGGTGAGAACTTAGCTTTCTGGAAGAAGATGACTTAGCCTTTCGGAGGATGAGAACTTAGCTTTTTGTAGCGTTTCCCACAGACGACGCCAAATGATGTAGCGCAATTTGGCTGCTCCCTACAGGAGATGATCTGGCTACCAGCAACGACGGGCTCGATGAACCTGCAAGAGATGAACCAGAGAACGCGGGGTTGTTTACCTGACGGCACCGCTCCGATGCTTAAGTTAGCACTTGGTTGTGAGCTGAAAATGATATTATTACGCCTCTCCTCACCCTTGGGGGGTGAAGCCTTTATATACTGGAGTCCTTGCGGGTTCAGTGGAGTAGCTCCGGAATTCTCGCTGCGACAGGATCCGTTTCCGTGTTAGTTGGGGATAATGCTACCAATCGGTAAGGCTGGCCATTTCCGCCTGAATCGGGGAGTGGGAAGATAATATTAGCCGTTATAAGGTATGATCTCATAAGACGCGGAGTACGTTGACGAGATCCCCGGGGTTGCCATGTGGTGGTTGGTTAGCATTGCCTGAGCTCGTGCTCTTTAGATCCGACCTGATATGAATGCCGAAGTGCCTTGGGACCGAGGTGGTCCTGATGTGACTTGGCACCGAAGTATACTCATCCCGAGGTAGACTTGTCTGAGGTGGACTTGTCCCGAGGTGGTCTGGATATCCGAGCTCGATCCGTTGCAGACTTGGCGTGTCAGGCTGAGTTGTTATCCTACTAGTTAGGTCGCCTGATCGGCGCCTGTGCCAGGCTGCCAGGTTGGCGCCCGTGCCAGGCCGCCAGGTGGGACACCATCAACTTGGCTAAGGTAAGTTGTTGTTTAAGTGGTTCCGAGTGTTACCTAGTTGTTCTAAGGTGTCATGTGTCACAATATCATTGAAGGGCCAAATCCGCCCTCATCAGAACCCTTGGTGGGTTTTATAGAGCAGAGAGGAGAGAATGTTGGAGGGCAAAGCTCTCATTGGCACAAATTGGAATCAATCAGTCCGGAGAGATTGAATGATCTGAGATTGATGGAAACGCCTCTCCCAGTTCGGTTTTCGTAGGCGATTCCAGTCCATTTGCTACATTTGAACTTGACCCACCTCGCCAAACTTTGCTTTGGATAGTTAATGGAGGATCTGAACTCGAGTTCGAGCTCGACTCGATTAATAAATAACTCTATATATTAGGCTCGAAAGGCTGGAATAGAATAACTATAAGTATTTGACCCAACTCGACTCAAATCCACCCCTATTCACGGACATACCAGCCCCAGCCATAATATTCCTTCCAAGCATCGCTTATGAGTTATGACTCAGTGACTTTCACATTTGGACAACAACTTTTAAAATATAAGAATAACTTTGACCAATCAGAACTTCCATTAATTTTGATCAATGCCAATTGTGGTCGCACTTTTTTGATATGCGACTGGTTCTCATGCCTTTTTCGGCATCATAGCAAGTTGAAGTCGGAGTAATAAAATATTGGGTCATTCACAGGTTTACTTAAATCTATCCTAGAATTTGTATTTTATTAAAATATCCCTTCAATCTATTTATTTAATGGACCATTGATTAAGAATTATTTATGTTTATTATATGAAAATAGTAATATGATCATTTAAATTAAGTGAAAATTGTTACGTAAAAAAAGTGGAAAAATTCAAGGGCATAGATTCATGATTATTTATTTCAAAGAATTCTTCAACTGAGTGGAAAATGTTCAAGGGTATGAATTTATGGTTGTTCATTTCAAAAATATTCCTAACTCTTTCTTGCATATAAAACAAAATTAACTAAGTAGAAAAAAATAGAGTGGTTGTCCGTCTTTTATTAAAAGCAAAAATGATATCTTTGCTTTTAGTTTATTTTGAATGGATGTTAGGGTTAAAATTGTTATGAAAGATCAATTAAATAAATTGATCGTAAAGTAGAGGATGTTTTAGTAAAATATAGGCTTTAATATGGGGGTATTTTAGTCAATAATCCTAAAATACAAAATTTCAGTGATGACCCTAAAATATTAAATTTCAGATTTCTCGTTGTCGTTGGATTATAGTCGACACGATCTATCCTTAATTACAACAAATACCGTCGATGTTTTTCCCTCCAATACGAGAAATCTGTTGATCTCGTTTGTACACATGTAGAGACAGACATACGGTTGGGCTTGGAGCTTTCAGAACCCCGCAATCCGAGGGGCCGTTTAAAGTCCGTTGCTTGTCCAACGGGTTTCGGTTGGAAAATCTGAGACGACCGAGGCGTTGAGGGGGAGAGAGAGACAGAGACAGAAAGGGACACAGGACACTTCGTTGCGGCTCTCGTCCCCTCCCTCCTTTCTTCTTTCCTTTCTATCTGTCTTTCGTCACCAAATATACTGTTTTTTCTCATTCTTTATTCGAGAACGACGCCCTTACCAGGTATTTGAGCTACATTTATCGTTCCTTTTTATTTATTTGGTGTTTGGTCTGCATTTTATTAACTCCGGTTGCCTCGTCGTTCGGAGTTTCGATCTTTTGATTCCGGCGAAGTCGCTTGTTTCCGGTGGATCTGTTCATTGATGTTAATGATAGTTCGTATTTCAAAATTTATATATTGCTTGTTTTATACGTTGTATGTTTGAAATTGGTCCATGGCAGTGCAGGCTTTTGCTGCGTGTGGACGAACTTGCTTAGGTGATCCCTTGGGATGTGAATAAGAACCGAGGATGGCTACCAGAAATGCAGACTCTTCTCAGGTATGATTGAAGACGCTTAATCGAATGACGAATCCTATGCATTATGGATCATTTCCCCCTATCTCTTCCCTTCTTCCATTTAGTGTGGTGAAGTTATTTTTGTGAACATGCGAAAACGGGACCAGTTGGAATTTGGATAATGTACGATGGTTAGTGGGAGTTTTTCGTCGAAAAAGGGTCATAATAATGTATGACTTTCTGTTTCAGGGAGATGGCGGTCCAACATCTGCACCTTCTGGGCCAACTTCTCGTCCTGGCAACGTGGTAATTTGCTATTTTTTTTTCGTTCTTGTTTTGGCTTATCTGTTGTAACGCTGGTTTTATCAAATTAGTGAAATTGAATGCTCCATTTCCGATTTTGTTTAGGTTCTGATCCAGTTTTTAGATTGTAGAGCTATGGAATTGTGGTTTTGTTGAGTTGTAAAAACATTTAAATTACGAATTAAATGATGCCAATTAAGGAAGAGGACTTAAGAAGGAAATTAAACATCAGTATTGAGGGATGCCGTGGAAAATTGACTCAAAGGACCCTCTTCCTTCAGTGCATCTCGTTAGTTAATGAAAGATACTGAAACAATTTAGTCTATTAACAATCACTTCCAATAAGAAAAGTAGGATTATCCTTCTAATACATGAACATTAGAAGAAAAAAAAACATCAAATACTGATTATGCTTGCATAAGATCTCACTGTGGAAGGTGGCTGGTTTTAGTGTAAGAGTGAAAATACTCTGGAATTTGCTTCCATTTGTGATATGCTGGTCAATTTGGAAGGAAAGAAATAGCAAGATTCCTTGATTCTAAGGTATCCTCAGTAGGGGAGATGATTGGCAGGATTCAGATGACCATGGTTTGATTGACTGGTGACTGGTGTCCTGAAACAATTTGTTGGGATCAAGAATGATCGTTGCAGTAACTGGGGGAACAATATTGTTTTTGATTCTTCTTTCGTTGTGTAATGGGTGGATCTACTTGTTACTGTCATATTACTGTTGTTTCTGTTGGTAGCGTATCCTTGTACTTTGTTTTGGAGAATCTCTCCATCAGTTTCTAGAGATAAAAAGTCTCTTTCCATTTATCAGAAAAAGAAAACATAGTTTGGAGTTATCAAAAAAAAAAAAAACTGGGTGTCCAAGCTTTTGAGAAAAGGTTACTTTCATTCAAAAGGAAGGGGGGGGGGGTTACAAAAAGAGGATATACAGCCATCCAATAACCCCAAGCTATTTACAATGGCAAAGAATTAGCACTATACACAACATCTCTGCCCACCTCAGACTTAGCTAAAGAATCTGCCAGAACATTCAAATCCCTTGGGATCCACCTATAGTTGCAAGCAAGATTTGATGCCAACTCCCGGATCTTGTTCAAAAAGTGAGAGAATCTCCAAGGCCCACTGTCACTATTGGAAACCCAATGAATTACAAACCTCCTGACGTGGCATGCATTTGTTGCAACTTCCGGACTCCACGATCACTCCAACTGATGCCATCTCCAGAGCCTACTCGTTCACTAAAAGCCAAGAAGGATATCGGCACTTAAGATTTATCTTCTTATTGACCTTAACTGCAAGTGCATTTGTTTATAAGTTTTTATATTAAGAATATAATATAGTAATCTAACTCCATAAAACTCATTCTTTAAATATAGATATCTTTTGATAGTAAAAATAAAAATTCATATAAAAAAATGTATACCAGCAGTATACAAGCTTTGCAGCCCAGTCACCATCAGCCAACCCAAAACCACTGAAGAAACTCAACACAATTCAATCACCAAGCCAAATTCCATAACCCAAACAACCTACTGACCAATCTTTAATCCCTACCCCTCAAAATTGAACATAAGAAAATATAACAAATTACTAACTAACTAAAGCAGGTGGTGGTAGGGAAAGTCTAATTTGGGAGTGCCCTGGACCGGGTGGGGAGCTGTAATTTGTAAACTTGTATTGTGCAATGCCTCTCTGCTGTTTTCCTCTTGTTTTTTATGGCTGAATGTTGCATTATGTTGTAACATGAGCTGCTCTTTAGCAGTTTGGTGTTTTTAATGAAATTATTTCAGTTACTCATAAAAAAACCTCCCTTGGTTAAAAGATATCTACCTCTCCTGACTTCCTTTTGTGCACCTTCTTGAAACTTTTACAAGGACCTTCTCCCCATAAATTCAAATAGAACAGAGTTATGGGCTAATGCTAGAAGGTGTTGGGAGGGCCAAGGCTATGAGATATAGACACATCACACATTATAATAGAAGGTGATTGAGTTACAGTTTCATGGGTACCAAGGTCAACCAATGGACTAGTAGATGCACTACCAAAACAAGGGGCATCTAGAATGAAAATGTTTTGGGGATAAAAACCCAAGGGGGGAGTTTGTAACAAATTATATGAAGGAATCAAGTGGATGGTTAACCGTGGCTAAACATATCCACGGGTATACAACTGATGTATGAATTATAATGCATCACTTTTTAATTTAATTAATAAAAGCAAAAAAACATTAATCATAAAAAGATATTTATTTTAAATACCCTGCTGGTGTGTATGTTTCAATTGGACCGTCCCATGATAGTCATCATTTTGTTAGATTTTTTTTTTTTTTTTTTTAATTTTGGTAGTCGATCAAGACTACAATCAGTCTTGAATTCAAAAGAAAAAGAATGAAGAAATTTCAGAAGAGAAGAAGAAGAGAAGGAGAGAAGAGAAGAAGCACACGAAGAGATTTTGGAAAAGAGAGAGGGTTGGTCTTGACATCAGCCGGCCCACTCTTAATATTTATATATGTTGACTAATTGTAAAAGGGCTGAATTGCCCTTATTGCTTACATGGAAAATAAACTAATAATAAAGCTGAAATAACAAACTGAAATAACTACCAACTAACACCGACATAACTAACAGAAATATGCTGCCATACGAACACAGNGACATAACTAACAGAAATATGCTGCCATACGAACACAGTGGGGACCACATCAGTGGGRTCYACATCAGTGTTCTCTACACTCCCCCTCAAGTTGGGAATAGATATTTGTCATTCCCAACTTGCATAGGTCTGCCTCTAACTTCTTCCTTGGAACAGCCTTGGTGAGAAGATCTGTAAGCTGCATGTTGGAGGTGATATACGGGAGACACACTTATTGAGATGAAACCCTTTCTCTGACAAAATGTTGGTCTACTTCAATATGTTTAATTCTGTCATGCTGTACCGGATTATGAGCTATATTAGTAGCAACTTGATTATCACAATACAACATTAAGGGCTTCTCATAAGTAATACCCAACTCCTCAAATAATGACTTCAACCATAGGATTTCAGCCACACCATTAGCCATAGATCTATATTCAGCTTCAGCACTAGAACAAGAAACAACACTTTGTTTCTTACTCCTYCAGGAGACAAGGTTACCTCYTACAAAAGCACAATATCCAGAGGTAGACCTTCTATCATCAACACTCCCAACCCAATCAGCATTTGTATAAACCTCTATCTTCATGTGATCATTATTCTTGAATAATATACTTCTACCTGGACACTTCTTCAAGTATGCTAATATCCTCTCAATTGCAAGGAGGTGAGTAGTTCTAGGAGAGTGCATATATTGACTGACAACGCTGACTGCATAATTGATGTCCGGTCGTGTGAGACAAAGAGAGAGGAGTTTTCCAACTAACCATTAGAACATAGCTTTATCTTTAAGTGTCTCTCTCCACCCTCTGCACTGATCTTGTGATTCTATTCAATAGGTGTATCGACAGGTTTAACACCTAACTTTCCAGTTTCTTCCAATAGATCTAGAACATACTTTCTTTGAGAAACAAAAATCCCATGTTTAGATCTAGCTACCTCAATACTCAAGAAGTATCGTAGCTCTCCTAGATCTTTCACCTCAAACTCTTGATGAAGGAGTTGTTTAAGAGACTCAATCTCATTGTTATCATTCCCTATCATTACACTATCATCCACATATACAGCAAGCAAAGTCAAGGAAGAGTCCACTTTCTTAATGAACAATGTATGGTCTGACTGGGCTTATACATAGCCGAATTTTTCAAGGGCTTGTCTGAATCTATCAAACCAAGCTCTGGGGGACTGCTTTAGTCCATACAAGGCTTTATTTAACCAGCAAACCTTCTTTCCTGTCTCTGCATCATAAAATCCAAGAGGTAACTGCATGTAGACTTCTTCCTGTAAGTCTTCATTGAGGAAGGCATTTTTAACATCCATCTGGAACGAGGGCCAAGAGTAACTGGCTGCAAGGGATTACAAAACTCTAATAGTGGTCATCTTTGCTACTGGAGCAAAAGTCTCCAAGTAATCTATACCATAAGTCTGAGTAAATCCCTTTGCAACTAACGGGGCCTTATACCTTTCAATGAAACCATCAACATTATGTTTCACAGTAAATACCCATCTACATCCAACCGGTTTCTTCCCTTTAGGCTGGTCAACTAGCTCCTAAGTATTATTCCTCAAAAGAGCATTCATTTCAACCTTCATTGCATCTTTCCACTCAGGAACTAACAAGGCTTCTTGCATTGTTCTGGGGATAGGAATATCAACAA